AAAAGTCCATAAAATTATATATTTTCATAAATTTAACCTTAAAATTATATAGTGAAGGACATTACAAAGGCATATAACTAGTATATAAGTGACTATATATAATATATATATGAAAAACTTTTGTCCGCATATATCCTTCTTCGTTTTGCTTTTCATCATTTCAGGCAAGATGCCAAATGTTTAGTGGTGATTCTATAGTAGAAGAGAGGCCCCTTTTCGTTTATTGTACACTCGTTATCCTGTTTCGAATCTAAGACATCGCTCTCTCTCCATTTTAACTCGATTGGGAGAAACTTTACACCGCTTTTTAACGTTTTTTTTAAACAAGATTTATATATAAAAAACCCATCTTAGTTGTTTCTACATCTGTAAAAAGTAAGATAAAAAATCCATTTTTGTTGGTAATTTTTAAGGTTAAATGCTACTAGTCAACTGCATGATTGATGAGAGAACCTCCTACTGATGCTAATATATACACTTAACTGTTTCTAAGTGTTATATTGTGTAGAGAAAGAGAAACAGGGAGAGGGTCTTTGTTGGGTTATTGCCAGAACTATATGGAAATGAAAATCTGAATTGAATCGTGACTGTTTTTAACCAGATTTCTTTCCATGACTTTATTTTTTTTTTTTAGCTTTAAACCATAGAAAGATCCGATAATAACTACAAATTCGATTTTCTGTTTCTTTTTATATATATATATTTTTTAATTTTTGGAATATATTTTAAGTATTATCTTTCAAGATAATGTTAAATTTATTCACTGTCTTTTACAATCTCATTTGCATGATACTGTTCCATTTAACAATTTGGATATATATGGTTTGATTAAATAAATGTACAAGCTTACACAAAAGCAATTTTTGGACAATGTATCGAGTTATTGTTGTAATTTATATTCATCTGTATGAATAAACAATCATTAAAATATAGCTCCCTTTCTCTTCTCGTATACACCACATTCAACTAGAGATAATCGTGCCACTTCCTCACCTGAAAATTGGCATTTGTATAAGGATTTTTTGGAGAAAATATAAAGTAAATTTTAACATTTTGACGAATTTTCATCAATTTAATGCATTACGAAATTCCTACCATCGAAGAAAACTCAACAAACATTACCCAAAAGTGTTTTTATACGAGAACACTCCAGACGATAAGAGGGAGACGTGGATTTATGATCCATAATCCTTTTAGTAACGGACGGATTTTTGGAAAATATGTTTCTTATTTAAGAAGGAAGAAGTCTTGTAGAAGTTTAATAACTTAAAATATACAAGATTGTAAATATAAAAAAAATAAAATGTAAAAGAAGAGGAAGAAGAGGAATCTCGAAAGAGGATGCGATTCGCTTTCTTAGTTTTGTTAGAGAAGTAGCGATTTTTTATGATAAATTTCGAGTAAAACTAATAATTTTATCGAAGTTTAATATAATAAAACATACGAGGAATGTATAAAAAAAAGTAGAAATATAAAAAAGAATTACATAACTCGAACAGAAATTGCAAAATAAATAAGAGGAACTCTCATGCCATTAAAACTATTCGAGACATTGTGGTGTAGTTTTTTTCCTTTATTTTTTTAAAAAAAGAAAATTCACTCTTTGACATTTTTAATAACAATTTCTCTATATTCTACAAGCACAAATATACAAATATATTTTTTTCTTGGACGATAAAATAAAAAACTTGTGCTATTTTGCAGCCATAAAATCGAGACGTTGTAAAAATCCTACATTTACTTATTAGATTTGTCACTCCTATAATAATTTTTTTTATACATCTCGGGTTAATTTTATTCAGTAGTTAAACTTTCTGAAACTTTATCTAGATAAACACGGATGAAAAGTAATTGTTCGAACTAATTTTCGAGTGTTTATTTTCAGTTAAATATCGCATATTTGCTCCTTTTCTATCATTAGAAAACCTGCATCACTTACTTTTACACGGGCTACTTTTTCCCTTCCCCTTTTCTAACTCCACCTTGCTGCTAATGATCCTTAATTACTCGCTTTGGCAAGTGTAATGGGGAACTACTTCGGCAGTATCATTAATAAATAGAAAAAAAAGGTGGAGAGAAAGAGGAGGAGGATGCGGAAAAGAGGAGGAGGAGGAGAGAGAAAAAAATCCTTTCCAACATCCGAAAATAAAATTTAAAAAAAATGTATATATCGAAAAGATATATTTTTCTAAGAAATCTTCAAATTTTTGACAGCTTTTGTGGAGTTTAGTATGATCTTCTCTTGGTAAATTCTACTTGTTCTCTCATCGAACAAGTTTTCTAGTTCGTTTACTCGTAGAATGGATGATGTATGACACGATATCTGCGATGTAAATGAAAATTTTAACCGATTTTTACACGTTCTTTCGGCATAATTGCACTTCCAATGTCATACTTTGCTAAGAATATACAAACTTTCTGAAAGTATAATGATAAATATCCCTTGGTTTGTTAAGGCATTCGTAAGTCTCCCATGTTAATAATAGTAATTTGTTTCTTCTAGTCACATTAGAGAGATATATTATACTAAGAAAACAATGTCAAATTCTCCAGTAACTTACCGAGATTTAATTAAATCAATTCAACGTTATTATACCTTAAATATGAACTGATTTTATTGGAAAACTTTTAAAAAACTTCAAAATTCTTAATATGTTTTGTATTAAACTCTGTGTTAATTGTCCCAATTTAAGGGCTAGAATATATGGAATTAATTATCATAAATTAAAATTATGATTCATTTAATTAATTAGCGCAAATTATCATTATTTTCTAATTATTACTCTTTAATATTTAGTTCTGAAATTTAACAAATTTAGTCCAAAAGTAATTCCAAAATTCAAGAAATTTAATAAAACATACTTCTAAATTACTAAAATCTGCGTATATTTAGGCTTAAATTTAATATTTAATGCTATTTTTATATAGCCTATATTTTTATTGTATTATATTAATTATGATAGGAATATGTGCATCAAACAAAATATGAACACCATTATCTTATTCGAATATTAAATATCATGTAAAAATTATATTTAGAACACGTTGTCGGTCCTTTGCGATATAAATAACATATAAGTCTTTTATATGTTTTAAGGGTGCTTGGTGAAAAATATGTTTTCTTAACGACGATTGGCTATGAGAATAAAGATACGCCTACTTCTGCTTGTTTTAAGTTTTTTATCCAATAGTAATCATGGTGTTTATTTTCCCAACCAATCACCGTTAAATATTTTAAAATTTACGACGAACATAAAATACGCCTACTTCCGTATATTTTAAATTTTTTATCCAATAATAGTTAAGTCCTTTATCTCTCCAACCAATCGTCGTTAAATATCTTAAAAGTTAAATCTCATATTTATCTCAGAGGACGACTTATGTTTATGTATCTATTTTAAGGCTACTTTCTTTGGTATTTATTTTCTAAATCACTAATTTTAATAATTTAAAGTTTATAAATTATAATAAAAAAGCACAGCGATGGATTTTATATATAATATTTATTTAATATAGCAAAATAACTTCGATTTAGCACGTCTCAGTAGCTAAATCGAAGTTTGAATACTAAATTACTGAACTTTCTCACGATATATTGATGAAATATATTAAGAAACTATAACATTATGGTTTAATAAAAGCCTAAATCCGAAATTTAACGTTATATATGATATTAATATGGATAAATTCGCGTGTAGAAGCGACAAAAATATTCTAGTCTTTCCTAACTCCCGAGTGGTTGTACATTCAATGCATACTTGTAGCATATATTTAATTCATTCCACAAGAGGACAGACATACAAAAGTACAATATTATCGCATATATTTCTATTAAATCGAGCTAGAAAATTTACTATTATTATTCGCAGCGCGTATAGGTTAAAGTGTTGCATTAAAGAAATTCCCGTGACTGTTGATAACAATCTTTAACAACAATCTAATAAACAGATTTGCGAGCCAATCGTTGCTCGCGTGCGTGTAGCACCACTTACTTTAGTTTAATTACCGATCGCATATGCTACAGAGCGAGACGTTGTCACGCTAAGCGATTCGCAATAAGTGACTTATCACTTGTGACAAAGTTCTTAAGGTAGAGAAGGAAAGAGGGAGAAAGCGAGAGCGAGAGAGAGAGGAGGGGGGAGTTTATCCTTACCGTTCTCACACCTGAGACACGTGACAGAGAAGCAGGTGGAGACATCTTACGACAGTAAATTGTACTATAGGCTAGTATCATCGATTATTATCGACGAGTCATCGGTCTCGCTGCGATTGTGGCTAGCCAGATTCTAATTTGGGAACGTTTTAATTAAGAGAGGGGGTTACAGCGTATGCAAATCTTAACCTAGTTGGGCAGTTAGCGTGCCTTTACACATGGATATTGTAGAGAAAAATATACATATTCTAGTTTCTAAATTCACATCCGGTGACAAAAGATATAAAAATAATGAAAAACTCCACTTCCTTTGTTTGAGAGAAAACAATAAACATTCATCAGATATCTAACCAGAGCTTTAAATGCCTTTTTTCCCTTATTTTTTGTTTTTTAAGTGGTGTCGTATGGCGAAAATGCCACGGGTCAGACAGAAATTGGGCGTTTGGCCAGCTAGTAGTAGTCTCTTAGAGGGAATTATACTTGTCACTATTAATTGAATGGTTCATGATACACAACTCGGATATTTTTGCTTCTTAATTTGATTTAGGATCATTTATACCTTTTAATGATATTCTCTTAGCTTTCTGTATTGCTCTGGCTTCACTCTTCCTACAAACAATCTTAAAAAACTTAATTTTTTCTAAAGATTTGCAGTGGATTAGAAACGATTTGTAAAGTCGACCTAGTTTTTAGTGTAGTAAACATCTTTCTATTTCCGCTTTTCTATAAATATCTCGAGCCTTTTAGATCTTTTTACCCTTTTCTATGATAGAAATACGTGCTTTTTTAAAAATAAAGTGATTTTTTAATTAACAAACATGTTATATTTTTTTTTATTTTCTTGCAGTGTTTTCTCCTTCTGATTTCTACTAAACAACTATCTGCTCTTAATGTGGAGGACGAACTAGAGACGAGCACGGTAAGATGCTTGTGTTAAACCTCTTTTACAAACTTTTATATATAAAGATTTTTCTCTTTACTGTTTTCATCTTTCTTCACCTCGGAAGCTGTTTCTGCTTCTTATCTCCTGCAAAAAGCAGGAAGTCAACTCGAACGATCCGATAGAAAGGCTCTCACGTCATCCACAAATTGTTGACCCGCGTGCCTCTTCTATTGTAAGCATAGAATACAAATAGCCTTAAGTTGAATGAGATAATGGTTTTTCGTCCTGTAAACACTAGCCAGAGTCATCATCAGATATAGTGTTATGAAAGGCATTACTTTAATTGTCCTTCCTTTACATTTGCTCGAATTCTTTTTTCTTGCGAATCTTAAAAAAATTGGATTTTTGTTTAAAGGAATAATCCAAAATTGGATCATTTTTTTGGACATGCGGTCAAGTTTATGATCAGAAAACTAGGATATTGAATGCGATCAAACGCGACTGAAAACTTTTACTGCAATACTTATCCCAAATTTTGTCAGCAGGCGAGACGGAATTTTATCTCGTAAAAAGAATTACTTTTTAGTCTATGGATTTACCAAACCCTACACGGTTTGATCGTAAAAATGTGGAGAAGCACTTAGGATGGTTTAGGCACCAAACTACGCTTTACGGCTCCCACTTTCTTGTTTTCTCTAAAGTACTAAATTTGTCATGGATCGAAATTATGTCAACAAGTCGTCTAAATTAACCGTCTCGTGCGGGGGAGGGGTCGCGACTTAACTCCCGCGAAAAATTCGAGCGCGAGGATCTACGCAAACTTTTCTAAAATGTCCTCCCCACACGGACGAGTAAGTGATGCTCATTAAAAAGACCAAAAAAAAAAAAACTCGTAATGAACGATGGTAAATGATATCGGTAGAGGCGCATTTAATATTATTTAATTTCGGCTAAAGAAAATGAAAAGTGGTTTGTTCTCCGTTTTTCCTAACACCATAAAATCTCGTCCGGATAACAGTTACCATGACAACGGAGGAGGATGTAGTGAGGAAATGAAAGAAAAAGAAAGATATTCCAGACTAGACGGCGCCTTTTACAAATGGCTTGCAAGTCATCTGTATATAGGCATTTCTCCAATTAAATCTGAGACGCATACGCAGAGATCACCCTTCTCTTTTCTGTCTGCTGAATACATTTCTCTAACTGTCGGCTTCCCCGCATAGCATTGTGCGTCGTGTTGGAAAGTTTGATTTACAGGGGAGACGAACGCTTTATTACCAGGCACTCATTTAATTGTTGTTGATTGTGCTGAAAATTGTCCTTCTACGATCCATATGCTGAGCTTTCCTTATCGATTTACGACCCTCTTTAACATTTATTTTATAAAATATTTTTTAGAAAAATTAATTAATTAATTAATGAAACATTTAAAAAAAACTTTTTTCCTCCTCCCTCCATCCTCTTTTCCCCGTTTCTCTCTGCCTTTTTCTATTCTTCTCCATGCTGTGTGTAATACTGAATGGTATCAACGTTTAGAGTTAGATTAATGGCTCGGTGTTTAAATCAGATAATAGGGTTTGGCAAGTGGACAGGAAGTAAAGTAATAAAATAGGAAAGGCACCTGTCGGAGATCGGAAGTTTTCAATTGCATTATTTCGTTTCTCGGAACCGTTTTCAGTTTTAAACACGCATGTAGTTATATACTCGTAATTAATAAGGTAAATTTTATATCAATTTATCTTGATATAAATCTTTACAGTAGATTTTTTCATTCGTATCTACGAAAATTCGAGCATTATTGATAAAATCCTGTTCGTTCCCCTACCAGAGAGAGTCGGAAAAAACCCGAATAAAATAAAAAAAGAAAGAAACCTCGGTCCATGTTTAGTGTAAAAACATAGAAAGTCAGTGACCCGCTATGTTGTGTGTACTACATGAAGCATATTTATCATTCATGTCACTATGACGACGTGAAAAGTATCTAACCGGGCTCTAGAAAACAAGCATCACTCTCTTATTCCATCTTGTAATACCAATGCGTGCTTCATTTAAGAAAGATGGCTACCGACATGACCAATAAGGGTGGTCTCTTTCGTCACGTGATCCGACTAGATCCCCCCACATGAAAATTTGATCAGGTGTGTAAGCCATTAAGAACAGATTAATGTGGAAGTGCTTGGATGGCGTGACTATCAAACCCTAATGTCGTGACTGTAAGTTTTGGTTTAATGCCCCACTACTGTTCGTCAACTTGGGGATTATTTTGTTTTAAGGGGGGAGAGCATTATACTCTGGTATTTTCTACTCACGAATATAGACAATCACTCACGCACTCGAGCGAAAAAAAAAGCGACGACAAACTCCGGTGTTTGGTTGGATGATCGTTTTTCATTCTCCTCTAGATACTTTCCCCCCTACTCTATTCGATCAAGGGGTCATTTTTTAAGTCTATTTTGGTTAAAATGCCAACACGCCATGTGTCTCAATCGGATATTTCCCAGGATTATTGAGAGAAAATTACTAGTTTCGCAGAATTGTAGTTTAACATTTTGACAGGAAATTATCCATTTAAAATAATTTACTTGCTCTACATTGCGTTCAACCTTTCATCTTTTCGTAACGTCTATAAAATGATTTCAACCGTATTAGCATAGAATTTAAATGTTTAAAAATAAATTACATTAATGAAACTAAGCTCCAATTGCAGGAAACTTAAATAAATAATGCAAATTTTATTTTTTCCCTAATCAATTTAGATTTAATCAACGTTACGTCTATGGTAGATTTGTATGGGAATTTTAATAATGATTATTTAAAATAAATTAAATTTAGTATCTCTTCTGATAAAAGTCCTTTTAAATTTTATTGTGAAATTATAAAATTTTAAATAATTTACTAACAGAAACTGTTACGAAAGGAAGATCAAGAGCAAAGAGAGAAGGGAGATGTTAAACTTAATGATTTAAACAATATAAAGTTATAATTGCCAATTAAACTTCAGTATTTAAAAATTAATTAGATTATTTATAGCTTTTAAAATTAAGGAAGAAAAATCAAAAAATTCTGCACATCCTTAGTCAGAATCTGCGTTAGAAATGCAAGCATTGGGGATGCTTTACTCGGACGATATTTACGAGCTTGTCTCTTAGAATGGTTTGCAATATATCATTGAAATCTCTAATATGCTAATCGACTAGAGAGTGGACACTCTTATCTCAGTAGTGATGGAGTTTCCTGCATCTGTGACATTTGGGATGGCAGAAAACGTGACAGACAATGTTGTAACGGTCAAATATGACCTAGGAACATAGTTCAAAGTCAAAGATTATCACCATAGACATGCATGAGAGGAGGGAGAACGTGTTGTTTGCTAACTGACTAGGAAATTACAGGACGTATGCCATAATACGAATAGATGACTTCTTGCTTAATAGAATTTTTGATATCTAATTAGATTATTTTAGATGTAAAATATTTTATATCATGTATAGAAATATTATTAAATTTATAAATCAATTATATATTTTGCCACAGTTTAAAATCCCTTTCTTCCCTCACTGCATACACTAAGATTTCCTAAAATGGTTAATGGGTGGAGGGATATATATGGGGGCCTTTAAGGAGAACCGGTTATAAGAACAAGATGTACTTCCCCTCCAGAAATAAAATAAAAAAACTAAAGTACTGTGTAAACATTTTCCAAATTACAGCCTTTGATAAATTAATGGCGGCAGATTTAAATTAATATTTTATAAAATTTTAAAGTAGTCGTGAATATTTTTTGAGAATGAGAATCATAAAATCATCAGCAAATTGTCTATATACACATATACGTATAGAGCATGATGATGATCTTAAGATTCCCATCTCAAAGGAGGTAGGGTGTCACATAAGTCTGGAACCATAGGCTGATCTTTGTTTATTCTTTTACAGGCAGAGTTGAGTAAGGAGTAAGGAGGAATGAATTATCTTACTCCTTACCTGAGTAAGGTAATTTATTTTGATGCTGGGTACCCACAATCAGCGTGAAGCACTGAATAGTTTAACATGCTGCATCCAGACAAATGAACTTAATTGGTGACAAATTTGGATGCATCCAGTGACTCTTCGGTGCTTCATGTGATTGCGGGTCCCACCATCAAAATAACTTGAATTCGTTTCTTCTTACTCGGCGCCATGTTTTAAATGTAAAAGAATAAATAAAAATGAACGTAACTCATACGGTTTCACACTTATGGGGCATCCTGCATATATTAAAAGTATTTAAAACTTCTTCAAGATAATTTGTAAGAATAATACTGAATTTTACATAAAAATTAAGATATTAAGTTATATTTTTGAAAATTTATTTAAATTTTAGTAAAATATTCTATAAAATATGGAACTAAACAGGCCTTATAACATTTTCGAAGAGAGTATTCATAAAATTACCTCCAAATTAACAAGTAACACATCATTAACGCTTGTCATGTTCGATATATAAATGAAACTGGTTTAAAATAGTAACACACGGATGGCCCAAAAGTCAAACATTCATTTAAAAACCAAATTGTCTATCTTATCCGAACAGTTAATGATTTATTTTTTTATATTTTCATCAATTTTGTAACAGCAAAATACATTGTTTATACTCGCAATTGTATTCGAAACGTAGACTACAAAAGCGGTTAACTAATTTTTGGGCCACCCTTTCTATAATTTAAATTAGTAGCACGTTTACTTAAACGATAATTAGAGGCGGTCGGTTTTATTCGATATCGTATAAAATTTTTACAATATTCGAAAATAATTTATAGGAGAAGGAGGAGAGGATGGCCCGCATATATTTAATTTAAAAAAATAAATTTGAGATATTTTAAAAGTTTAATATATTTATCAATGTTAGTAGTCGAGAGATTGATGTAACGTGTTCAAGTGCATTTCTTTGTTTCAAAAATGAGGAAGACGTTCTTTATATTAAGTATGTCTTCCACTCGGGGAGGTCACAGTCATTGAAGAGATTCTTATTTTATTTGTTTTATTTTTTATCGTTTCACATCATTAATGCGTCCAAAAATCTGCAGACAAAGACGTCAGAGAGAGAGAGAATAAAATGTGTAAGTAAGAAAGAACAAAGTAAAACAAAAGAAATCCCTGAAAGGAGTTTGCTCATTGCTTGTAAGGTTCAGTAACCTTCTCCTCTTAATCCAGTCCCCGAAAAGTCTGTGAAACCAGACACTAAAGATCAAGCAACGCCTTCGAGCAAACACAACTTCTCTCTTCCCTCGGTTAGAAATTCGGCAATTTAGAGTAACTTCTAACAAAATTTATACACTAGTGAACCTAGTGTTTGCTTATAGAAAGATCTTATGTTGTTGCTCTATCTGTTCTTTTTCAATTTTTAAGGTGGATAAGAGGAGCGACAACGGAGAATGGACAACATGCTCTAGGACCTGTGACGGTGGAGTTAGTGTACAGATTAAAAATTGCACAAGTAAAGGAGGATGCCAGGGAGAATCAGTTAGATACCGCATCTGCAATATGCAGGTGAGTTGTGTAAGGGGAGAGAATTAATCTGTTGAGATTCCTTCGAGTGGAAACGACTACAAAGGGTTTTTTTTTATTTAAAAAATCGAATCGTCTCGTTAGTTAAACACGCGATTAATATAAACGGTTGAATGGTTAAAGAGTTAAAAGAATTGCATACAAGAAAACAGCTCAAGAATCACGTTCTCCATCTTGAAACTTGGAATAAAATTTTTATATATACATTCTAAGGAATTTATCTTAATTTTATAGAAGGAAACGTTTCCTAGTGTAGATAATTAATCGGTTCCTCCATCAGAATTACAAGATTGGTTCCAAAACTTAATCAGGGAAACCGATAGTGGGTGGGGATGTTACCTCAATTTCCTTATCTCCTTTAATCTTGTGATTAATTTTGACTGACACAGATTAAAGATTAGCTTATGTAGATTAAAAACGAACGTAAGTAAATTGAATAATATAAAAAGATTTAGGTCAGACAAGATCAAGAGAATTAAAGCATCCATTAATGATATTTAAAGTTTGTTTAATTCAATTTTTTTCAGCCTTGTAAGAAGGGGGACGACTTTCGAGCAACGCAGTGTTCTGCATACAACAATATACCATATCGTAAAAAGCTGTACAATTGGAAACCATATTATGACTCTGAAAAACCTTGTAGCCTCACCTGTCAAGCTGAGAGTTATAATTTTGTTATCACATTGGCATCAAAAGTTATAGATGGCACAAGATGTCGAGATGGTTCCCTAGATATGTGCGTGTCGGGAGTTTGTATGGTAAGTTTTAACAACATTTTAAAATAAAAATTACTCGAAATTACGTATATTTTGAACGATGTTTCTATTGTGTATCAATTAAAAAAATACTTTCGAATTTAATTCTGAAAATGAAGATAAAACTGCTTAATTCTATAAAGGAGAGAGGATAATATCTTCAATTCTGTAAAAAGATGATGATAATTTATTTAGTTGTAGAAAGAAGATGGGGATGAATTCTGTAAAGATGCTAGGGATAAATTATTTTATTCTACAAGGATGACGAGGATAAACTGTTTAATTCTGTAAAGATGATGAATGATTCTGTAATTCTATAAGTTATGATGATGACGATGTAATAATTCTGTAAAGAAGATGAGTTTTCGAGAATTAAACAGTTTATCCTCATCTTTTTTGTAGAATTAACTAATTTACCATTTTTTTTCTTTACAGAATTAAATAATTTATCCCTAATATATTCCCTAATTTTAAAGATATTTCTACTGTTNGAGACGACGACGAGAATCTTTTCATTCATGAAGATTGGCAGATAAATTTCAATACAGAGAAAGAGAAAAATGTAAAAATTCTATATACGAAAAACGTTTACTATACATCAGTAGGAGAAAGTAAAAATAAAATAAATTAAATAAGGAGAAATAATAAAAAAGTGGCCATATCGGCAGATAACCCGCATCTATCAAATCGCCAGTTTATACAAACTTAATGAGTTGATGCCGGTTATAAAATCACCCTTTTGTAGAAAATATCATCAAATGTGATGACATCATTAATTATAATGTCATTGTTCTTGCTCTTAAATGTAAATGGGCCTCCATATTTTATTTTTATTTTTAAAATTGTTAATATGTTTTGCTCTCTTTCTAATTATCTACCATTTTTTAAGTGATAAAATCGCTTTAAATTCATTCTAGATTTGATTATCGACATCAAACTTAATTATCTTCTAGACGATATTGTTGTAAAATCTTTAACTGTTTAAATATTAAAGGGGTCAAAGGTTAAATTTATTTTATTTTTATTTTTTTTAATTCGTTGCGATGGTAACTTTCGTGACTCGATTAACTTTTAAATTATCTTTTCTAGTTTTTTTTTAATTTTAATATTTTAAATATTTTATTATCTACATTATCCTACTTATTAATTTAACTAATTTATTAATGAGATTTTTGAAACGGTAAGCCACACGTTTTTGTGTTACTGATTAGCTTTAGTAACTCGATAAGTAATTGATGTAATATGACTTTTTTTTTGGATCATTTGGTATAGTTTCAAAATTTAATAAAATTAAAAATAATCCGTCGATTTTTGTGAAATTTTATATAATTATTCTACATATGTTTCTGTTGATTTCGACCAATCTTCGTAGCCCTATATTGATTCGTTCAGCTATATGATTTTTTTATGTGCGCGCTTCTCATATACAGTTTCTTGCTTATAAAATGAAGTAAAATTAAAACTATCCAATTAATTTTCGTGAAGTTTTTTAGATATATTCTAGATACATCTTTCTTTAACTATACCAAATTTCATAATTATATATTAATTAGTTCGTCTGGAAATAATTTTTTTTTGTGCTTTCTCTCTCTCTCTCTCTCTCTCTCTAATACAGTTTCAAAATGTAAAATTTTTTTACAGTTATTCTAGACACATTTATCTTAAATTTCACCAATTTTGGTAGAGCTACATTAATTAGTGCGCTTGTAAATAAATTTTTCTCTAGCGAGCAACTTTAACGCGAATTTCGTACCTGTACCTATAAAATTAAATAAAATTAAAACTATACAACCAATTTTTATGAAGTTTGTTACAAATATTCTAGACACATATAGCTTAAATCCTGCCAATTTTCGTGAAGATAGACCAATTAGTTCTCCCGTAAACGAATTTTTTTGCGGGGGAATATTGTAGTACAGTTTTGGGACAGTTTCAATGTCTCGACAAACTTACGAACGATTGCAAAATTTGTAAATATAATCATTACACCTACACAATATATTCTTATTCGGGTATTTCTGCTATCGATCCCAAGTAAAGTTATTTACTTTCATCCGGATATTCTGGCACCTTACCAAATTTCGTTGCTATTTCCGGGACGGATTGGTCCGCCAATGACGTCACCCCTTAGTGTCCGAAAAGCTTAAAGTGGGTCACGTGCCCCTTACAAAACGCCCACGTTACTAAAACAGTTACTTTTTCTCATTGGTGGACATCCCTTAATAAAAATAGTGGCTGACCAATGAAGTGTGGTCGAATTGTCGCACTTGATTTTTCTCCACCCCTCTTACTACATATAATGCAGTAAAATATCACGAATTATAACTATATTAATATATTAAGAATGAGGTCAACTATTTTAAGGAATTTTTCCAATTCTTTTAACGTTTGTTTGAATATTACAAGATGGCTGCTGCTCTTCTTTATCTTTTTTGTCCCCCACTTCATTAAGGAATTGGGCTAATTTTTATACTATTTTGGGTTGTAAAATAGTATAAAAAAATTGTTATTTTTATTTAATTAAGTGGCCCAGAATATAATATTACGATAGGAAACGTTGTAAGAATCGAAATTATTGGACAGGAAGGATATTTGGAGCATCTGTTACAGGCAATCAAGTAATGCATCCCTGTCATCCGACTTGCAGAAAAATTGTTTATCCATGGTTCCATCCCCTTTTCTCTCCCAAAAATGCTAATCTGATAACCAATAAACGTGAGACGTGACTATTTACGAGCGTAACATACAAGAAACGTAACAAAATATCTTGATAATGATAAGCAGAGAGAGGGAAGAAGAATAGAGGAAACAGAGAAGGGAGATTAGAAAGTTTTGAACTTTAAAATTTTGATAAGTCGAGGGGTAATTGTTCGTTGATATTTTTTCACATTTTATGTATCAAAACTAATCTAGACCTTATCTACTATTAGATAAATAATCGATTAACTATTTATATTAAGTCAATAAATGGTGATCTATGCAGACTATCGCATCTATAAAATATTAGATTGTGTGTTTGTTTATTGATATTTTAACTTTGTTCTAAGAAAAACGATGTTTCACTATTGTTTGTTTATGTATATTATATATTTATGATAATTGTATGCGCCGTTGAATTAATAATGTACACTAAATTATAGAAGGGCGATAATGTATAAGAGTGTTTGGACAATTTTAAGCGAGTTAAATTTGTTTAAATAGGCTAATTGTAATGTTACTGTTTAAAACGTAACCGCTAAATGTCACGCGAGCGTTTACTCTACTTTTAAACACGTTAATTGCAACGCTTGCCAATTGATAAATTTCTAGGTTACGTTTCGACATTTCGTTTTCTGTCTAAGAATAACGCCGTTACGTTACGTTTCCGTTGCGATTAACGCCACTAAAGGATAATTTAATACGCGGTAAGATTAACAACACGTCATGAATTTCCTAAGTGTGTTAATTTAGTCGTCTGGAAGAGGGGAAGCAATTGCTTTGAAAAGTGGAGATTTACCTGCCGTACACCTGTCCAACTAGTTGAAAAGATCCATTATATCTCCAATAGAAGAATCACCTGGGGGTAAATCTACCGACTTATCCCTCTAACCTCTGAAATATCTGGAGGAAAAAGGAAACTTTTTTTGTTTCTGATACATGGCGGATCATAGATCACACCTGTCTTCCTTTTTATATTTTTTTTATCCTTGAAAATAGCCGATTCTAGTCGGCAATCACGCTCTCTACTGTTGTCATTATTCGAATCTTTGCGTTTCTATGGCGACCAAAGGTATCTGTGCCACAGGTGTTCAGAATTTGGTAAACATCACCGCACCCTCAAGACGAAAAATACAATAAAATCACACAGAAAATCGCCTGGAGAGTAAGATTTTATAGTTTATAACCCGTACGCGCGTCGATTTTCTATCGGAATTTTACGATTATTCCGTTCTAGATTTAGTACAGATGTCAATAAGAATGTATAAACTACGTTACGCTCCCGCATATATGAGTATGACGGAGTAGAAACATTACGAATTTTTTGTTACGCGAGGCCTCAAACAAGTGTGGCCCTGCATACGAATTCTAGTAACCATCTGTATATATAAAAATAACCATCTCATGCATGCATGATCTTTGTACAACTGTCTTTTTTTCACATGCTAATTTCTAGTGTATTCGTTGTTTAACACTCCCCCTTCGCTAGTATACTGTACTGTACAGTACATCCCCGTTGGCCGACACGATTTATATGGAGTAACATTCCACAAGAGGATAATTCATTCCCGAGAGGGCTATTGTCGCTAAAAGTGCCACATTTTCGTCACGCGTGACTATTTTCACGTGTACACCCGATTGGCTAATTGCCAGCAGGTGTGTGTGTGCGTGTGTGCAGGTGAATACAAAGTGTAGATCCATCAAATTTACAACGGGACGATAAGCGGAACCGAATCTACTCATTGTATTTCTCCTATTTTTTCTTTCCCCTCTTCCTTCCTTCCTCTTTCCTTACAAACGGGGAGGGAGGAGGGACGAAATCGAAGGTTTCTAGTATGATTTAAGTTAATTATCTTGTAAATTAATTTACCTACAAACCAAACAGGTAGATAATTAAGTCGATACACCCACAACACGCCCTTTCTCTAGACTTTTTTTTTTTTGTTGTTGAAGTACATTCAATTTTCTCTTTGTTTCTCACTTGTCACTTAATCCACCTACCTGCCCGTTGCACCTGTTCATCTAGCCCAGGGCTACGAGTCCTGTACGAAAAACTAAACTGGAAAAATTGTACAATTCCCTTCTATATAAAGCTACTAATGCCTCCCCGGATACTGAAGTTCCATTAATCATTCGAGCCCGATATTACCTGTTTGACCTTTGAACTTAACTTTTCTTACCGATAAAGGAGCCCTCCTCTTAAGAAAGAAATGCTGAAAAACGAGTCTACTAAATTTATTCAGACGGGGGGTTGGAAATGTCGGAGAATTGACTTCAAAGTGCTAATAATTAAATAACTTTTGTACAAGTGTCGATGGTAGGTTAACTCCCACTTCTCCATTATCTGTCGTTGCTGCCAGTTTTTAATGGTTTGTACGCTTTGAAGGG